TCTAGTCAGCACCGGGAGTTGTTCAGGCTGTGGCGAGAAGCAGAAGGACCACAGCTCTGCCCCTTGCACTGGATTGGCTGACAGTGACCAGAGTGAAACCAAGGACAGTGAGTGTGGGCAGGAGACGCCTGGCATTGTGGCCCTTGGGGCCCTTGTGGTCCAAGTTGTCCTGGGGAGGTTCCCTCAGGAGTCCTGAGACGGCAGTTGAGCGGTCAGGACAGCACAGAGGACATGCCCACATGCCCATCTGCTCTCTGCTCTGTCCACTCCAGTCTCTAGCTTGGTTGCTACCCACACTCCCCTCCCCCGGAACCTCCTACAGACCTGCCCACCAGGAGCCTGGATGGGTGCACCCTCACCCTCTAGCCAGGACAGGCAGGTGCGCTGCTGTAACGCCCCCGGGGCTTCCAATCCTAGTGCTTCCTTCCTCACTTGCCCACGGCACAGGCCGAGCACGCCTTTCTGGGACACTGCAGTGGCAGCGGAAAGGGCCCTGCCAGGTCTGTGTGAGCAATCGGTGCCCAGTGGGCAGTGGCATGCGTGGCATGTCTGCCCTCACCTGCTGGCGAGACTGGACTGCCAAGTCCCGTCCAAGCCAAAGCTGGGGCGCGCGGTGCTAGCAGATATCCAGAAGGAAGGGATGAGCTGGCATGCTCGGTGCCTCCCCGGGCGCCGTCCCTGGAGGAGGGAGGGCAGGTCTTCGGTACCTGGGGCACAGAACTCTGTTTCAGGCACAGAGGTGACTCTGGTCAGGGCTGGGGGCAGAGAGACACAGAATCTGTTGGAACCACGATGAGGGGAGTGAAAGCAGCCCATGTGTTGAGCAGCGTGTGGGCCGGATGCCCTGCCAATCCCTCTGCTGCACCGCTCCTGGGAGGAGAGCCCTGCCTTCACGCCCATTGAAGACGGGTCCACAAGGCTCCCTGAGGGGTAGGGCCCAAGGTCTCACAGCTCCGAAGAGGCAGAGCCGACAGAATCTAGGCGCTCATGCTTGTGAGCAGAGAAGGGGGAGAGGGCCGCGTACCCCATGGGTGGGTTGGGCCTGCCCTGGTGGAGTGGGGAGGTGATGGGGCCAGATGTGGGAAGCCGGCCGGTGGGCACTGAGCCTCAGCAGATGCCAAGTGGTGGGCAGACGTGGCCTTCCTGCGAGGCATGGGTGGAAGCCAGCCCAGACAGCAGGCGTTCCTCAGCAGGCGGGGCACGGCGCCGACTGGCCAAGAATGGTGTGGACCCAAAGGGCCACAGGTCAGATTCAGGGATGAGCTTGACACCAGAAGGGTCCCACTGTGCTCGGCTAGTGCCAGATGGCAGGAGGCGGGGTGGGTGGTGGGCGGGGAGGGAAGCGAGCCCAGACAGCAGGCGTTCCTCAGCAGGCGGGGC